ACCAGCCAGAAGGGCTAGAAGGTAGGGTCGGGGGAGCATCGACCTGTGGAAAACCAGATGAGCCATCGAAAGAGCCCACAAAGTTCTGGCCGGTTTGGCTCAGTGGATAGAAGGGTCCCGGGTTCGATTCCGGTCAAGGGCATATGCCCGGGTTGCTGGCTCAGACCCCAGTGAGCGTGCAGGAGGCAGCCGATCCATGATTCTCTCATCAAGGATGTTTCTGTCTCTCTCCCTCCCCCTTCCTCTCTGAAATAAAGACAAATATTTTTAAAAAAAACAAAAAACCACAAATTTATTGAGCACCTACTGGGTGTTCCCTTCATCCTCAGACTTCCACTCAGGGTGGTGGCAGGGTAGCTAGAGCATTGACCGAAGGAGACTTTTAAATGATTAAATTAGCTAATATGTGGAAGAATGGCACTTAGGTTGAAGATGGAGCTTAGAATGTGAAGGTAGAGCCAGGAATGCAAGACTGGAATTTGGAATGCCCAGTTGGGCTCACAGGGAGCTGGGGAGGAGGGGTGAATGGAATTTGAACCCTGGGGGAGGAGGATGGAATTTTGGCCAGAGTCGACCTGGGGGATGAGGAGATAGGAGAAGACAATAAGGAGGTTAGACAATAGTACACGTTTGTGATGGGATTAGGAAGATGCAGGTCTGGGGCTAAGTGAGGCCTTAAAGTCCAAGACCCAGTGGGTGGGGCTCTAAGTGGGAGGAGCCCCCACTGGCTATTGATTGACGGTTTCTCCCTCCCCCAGACTGACCGGCGCTAAAGATGAAGGTTCTGTGGGCTGCGTTGGTGGTCACACTCGTGGCAGGTATGGGGCGGTGCTTGCTCAGGTTCCCTGCCCCTGCCCCCTCCCATCACCGGTTCCCCCTGACCCCGTCTATCCTTGTGCCCCTTCTGCTGGTCTCTCTCTTGAGAGGAGGCCCAAGTCTGAGCCCTCTTCTGACATTCACTGGCTCTGAGCAGCTGTGACTGTCTCAGGGCCTCACTGTTCCCATTCTTACGATGGGAGTTCAAACAGTTTCCATGCATTGTTGTCAGGCAGATAGTGAGGGCTACACAAATGTCCATCACCCCGCATGGAGCACACACTACAGACACTCGGTGAATGCCTGTCCAGTGAGGAAACAGACTGGCCTGGCCGTCCTTCCCCCCCTCCCTGCCCATCAGTGCTCTAAAAAGCACAAGAGCATTTGTGAAGCACCTACTGTGTGCTTGAAGAGGGCAGGGGACCTTGACGGCCATGCACTTGTTCCACGCAGGATGCCAGGCCCATGTGGAGGAGGAGGTGAAGCTGGCACCGGAGCCAGAATGGTGGCAGGTCAGCCAGCCCTGGCAGCAGGCGCTGGGCCGCTTCTGGGATTACCTGCAGTGGGTGCAGACGATGTCTAACAAGGTGCAGGAGGAACTGCTCAGCAACCAGGTCACCGAGGAACTGTCGTGAGTGTCCCCGCCCTGGCGCCTGGCCCTCCTGGTGGGCAGTTCCTGTCTGGAACTCTTCAGGGGTCTGTTCATTTCTTGCTTCCTCTTGCCATTTTGAATTCTTGGCTTGACCTCTGATTCCTCCTCAGCTCTTCCTGTCCCTGGCATGTTCCGTTCTGTCTCCCAACATCTTTCTAGCCCATCTGCTCGTGGCTGTCTGGGTCCCCTCCTCTTGGCCTCTCCCTCTTTTGGGTCTCTCTGTCTCTGTCTCCGTCTCTGTCCCCTTCTTGCCCCCTCCACCCCCATCTTTCCCCTTTTTCTCTCCACACACACCTCCTCCCGCCCCCTCCGCCTTCAGGAAGCTGATGGAGGAGACCATGGGGGAGGTGAAGACCTACAAGAAGGAGCTGGAGACGCAGCTGGGCCCCATGACCCAGGAGACGCGTGACCGCCTGTCCAAGGAGCTGCAGGCAGCGCAGGCCCGACTGCGGTCGGACATGGAGGACGTGCGCACCCGCCTGACCCAGTACCGCAACGAGGTGCAGACCATGATGGGCCAGAACTCCGAGGACGTGCGGGCCCGCCTGGCCTCCCAGCTGCGCAAGCTGCGCAAACGGCAGCA